AAAAACTGAAGATAATTTTGTAATAATCCACACAGAGAATTTTTTCAACTTTAAAGCACAGCAATTTGACTAGTCTTTGAGGGATATATCCTAAGGACAAAAAACCAAAACAAAACACAAAGAAATACTAAAACTTCCAGGAGCCAAAACTTTCTTATCAGGGTAAAAAAAAAAAAAAAAAAAAGATACATTGATTCTTCACTGAGAGAAAAAAAGAAAAAAAGAATAAATATATTTAAAAAAATAAAAAATACTGGGAACCAACTCTTGAATGAATGTTTATACAGAAACTTGTATTTAATCAAAGTAACCATATTTTGATCTTTTTTTTTTGAAGAAGGCCTCGCTTTGTGCCCCAGGCTAGCTGTGGAGTGCCGTGGATCAGCTAGCCTCACAGCCAACCTCAAAACTCTGGCCTCAAGCATTCTTTTGCCTCAGCCTCCGAGTAGCTGGGATACAGGCATGGCGGCTAATTTTTTATGATTATTAGTCAGCCATTATTTCTTCCTATTTATAGTAAGACCAGGGTCTCTCGCTCTGCTCAGCTGGGTTCCAATCCTGACCTCAAGCATCTGCCCGCTTGGTCCTCCCAGAGGCTAGGGATTCAGGCGTGAGGCCACTGTGCCGGCCCATATTTGATCTTTTAGAATCAGTTCATTGGCCGGCGTGCTGTGGCTCACGCCTGAATCCTAGCTCTTGGGAGCCGAGGCGGCGATTGCTCAAGGTCAGGAGTTCAAAACCAGCCTGAGCAAGAGCGAGACCCCGTCTCTACTATAAATAGAAAGAAACTTAATTGGCCAACTGATATATATATAAAATTAGCCGGCATGGTGGCATGCCTGTAGTCCCAGCTACTCGGAGGCTGAGGCAGAAGGATCCTCAAGCCAGGATTGAGGTTGCTGTGAGCTAGCTGACGCCACGGCACTCACTCTAGCCTGGACAACAAAGTGAGACTCTGTCTCAAAAAAAAAAAAAAAAGAATTCAGTTCTTGTACTTAATGTTTATGTCTGAGAAGATGTTAAACAGTTACAATGGATATTTGAAGAATACACTGAATATAACAAAGGGAGTCACATTATTTGATGGTTAGATTCCTTTTTTTTTTTTTTTTTACTTTTGAGAGATGAGTTTGCTATGTTGCCCAGATGGTCTCAAAACTCTGGGCTCAAGTGATCTTCCATCTCGGCCTCCCAAAGTGCTGGGATTACAGGTATGAGCCACCACACTCCGCCTGGTGTTAGATTTTAAATTCAGTAAAGCAAGCAAGTATCTTCAAGTTTACCTCAAAAATCCTTAAAGACACTCTGAGCCAAGGAGCTGAGAGAGACAGAAATTCACATCTCCCGTGTTACCCGTTCCAGGAATGCCTGTGGGTAGAGTATTGTGGAAACTTTTCCTTTACTATATATAAATACTATTTTTTTCCTCTCTCTAGTCTTGATCTTTTTTGTTTGTTGGCTTGAGTTCCTATAGTTTAACATGGTCAGTTAAATGAGAGTCTACTGTAATAAACTATAAAAATATGGTAGAAAAACAACATCAAACTCTGTACAGCTAGGTCATTCAAAAATAGTTAACTCTAGTATCTCTCTAGGTTTTTGTGTACAATGAAATTAATCCATATCAGAGACCTATAATTACAGATTCAGTTCCCACATGCAAAAAGTATTTGAAGACAGATATGTGTAAGACAAAATGTGTGGACAGTATTCTCCCATTTGCCTTACACATAGTGCACTTTTCTCATATCCAGAGAATATCTCTGGAAGAACATACCAGAAACTACTGTAACAGTGACTTGACTGTGGGAAAGGAACTGGGTGGTATGGACAAAGGAGGGAGGATTTCTACTTTACACTGCTAAAACTTTTGAATTTATACTCTCTCTATATATATGTATTCCTAGATCAAATTTAAATTCTTATAATTAAGATAAAAGAATAGGCTGGGCGCAGTGGCTCACGCCTATAATCCTAGCACTCTGGGAGGTCAAGGCGGGAGAATTGTTTGAGCTCAGGAACTCGAGACCAGCCTGAGCAAGAGGGAGATTCCATCTCTACTAAAAAATAGAAAGATGTATAGTGAGGAAGTTCGGGGAAAAAAAAAAGAAAAGAAGAAAGTTTTAAATATATATATTTAAAAAAATAGAATAAATTAGCTGGACAACTAAAAATATATAGAAAAAATTAGCCAGGCATTGTGGCGTGTGCCTGTAGTCCAGCTAATGGGAACTGAGGCAGGAGGATTGCTTAAACCCAGGAGTCTGAAGTTGCTGTGAGCTAGGCTGACACCACGCACTCTAGCCTAGGCAGAGTGAGACTCTGTCTCAAAAAAAAAAAAAAAAAAAAAAG